CCCCCCCCAAAAGTGATTTCTTTGGGATACACCAAAGTTTCAGGTATTACTTCATTTGAGTCAGTGATTTGGCCATCATTAAATCCATCGCAGTACTTCTAAACAATACCTGAATTGCTTTAACTGAAAGATTTTGTTTGAACTGTACCAGCTTAGTTCAATTTAATGTGAATCCTGTCATTCAGGCAATAGCTGCATTGACTTAACCACTGATTTGGTGTTGTTTTAGGTTATATTGGTGTTGTAAACAGAAGCCAGAAGGACATTGATGGGAAGAAGGATATCAAGGCAGCTCTCCTAGCAGAGAGGAAATTCTTTCTTTCCCACCCAGCATACAGGCACATGGCAGATCGGATGGGAACACCGTATCTCCAAAAAGTTCTAAACCAGGTAAAAGCTAAACTTTGTGTGGTGAGAGGCAGCTTTTACAATGATAGGACCAATATGAAATTCGTATTAAAAGGGATGTTCGGGTGAACCTAATTTATTCTTTCCTGCTTTTAACCTTTTAAACTTTCAGAATGAAATAAACAAAGCTGTGTATTACATGTGGCACATGCAAATTCACTGTGAGAGGCAAGGGACTAATTTTCAGGCTCCTGTCAGCATACAGCTAAAATAATTAAGTTTGCTAATCGTATGTTATCAAGGATGGCAACTTCCATCACATTCAAACACTGCTTTCTTCAGAGTAAGCATTTTTTGGCTCAAAAATAAAAGAAATCAGTCAGATTTGCTCCCTTATGCATCTGGGCATAAGCTACCAATGGTATTTTATGACTGCGTAGTTTCCCAGATCTAGAAGTTCTATAATGTTTTATACCACTTTAGCTTTTAGAAATTAAATTGCTTATTTATCTTAACGTTATCTCAGGCTGAGGTTTAGGCTATAACATCACTCACGCTTATAGTAAAATGATGTGGGCGTACCTGCCTCAACCCTTGAGAAGATGTTGGAGAGTAATGAGCCGTTAATGTACTTTTGTTCTCTGGGGCTAGTTAGTAGTAATAGTCTCCCTTCGAGCTGGCTTGTTTTGAGTGGAGTGGGTAACCCTGAGTGAGATTGTGTGTCATGACCATTCAGGGGCACAGAGATGCTTTGCTGCCGTGTGGAAGACTTGACGTTCCTTGCAAAAACTCTTAGAAACGTCAGTTTGTTCTAGAAAAGCCAAATGACTTTGATCTAGAAAACTGGAAGTGTGGTTACAAAAGATGGAAAATGAAGCTGACCCATGTAAGCGGCCTTGGACGACTGGAACCGTGTGCCAACTTCATGCTGCTGTTATATCCATTCCCTGCCCCTTTTCTTGAGATGAAATCTTTTCTGTTCTCTTAAATACTGAATAAGAACATAGGAAAAAAAGATTCTTCTCCTTTTCTGAGTGTTTCTCCAAGTATATAATTCTGTTCCTTAATTATTACATTTCTTCCAGTTTAATAGGTGTTCTTGCTGATCAAAATGTCAAGACTGATAGTGTTTTGGGAATCATATATTCTGAGAGTTCACTGCACAGCTGTACTTTAACCTCATGATCTACATTTTGTTCTAGTTTTTAGCAGAAACAATGTGCCATATACTATTGATGTAAGTGACAAATACAGTTACCAGAGCACTTTGTTCACACTACGTTTTTCTGAAAACCTAGCGTCTGTTTTTAGGAGTTCATGTCAAACTTTGTCAGATCACAGCTTGCTTTAGCAGGAAATAGAGAAGTCTGTTTTCCATTTACCTGGAGAAGAATCCTGTTGCTTACTTTTGTAATCAAGACACTGCCAATGCTGAGGTGGAGGAGTACCTTATTTTCTTTACTATTACATGTTTCTCTTTATCAGTGTATTAATTGGGAGAGACACGGGAGTTAGTTACTGTCGATGGATGAGGGTTCTGTGGTCATCTCTACTGAATTAATCAGTAGGCTGGTAACTAGACCTTTGTGTCATGAGTAGTTCTCCATAGAGTAGAGCTCTTGGGGCAATAAATGTGTAGGTACATGCCTCCGGCACTCATGAGTTTTCTGAAGGAAGTCTGTAGGTTACAAAAGTTTTCTTTTTTTTTTTAATTTATATCAATGCCCTGTGCCCATGATACCTGGTTCCATTCCCCTAACAAACTTATTAATCTCACTAGCAGATTGTAATAAAAACCATAATGAGTCTTAATTAATCTGTTCTTAAAATCCAACTCTATTCATTTGTATTTAGCACTGGTTGAAATGTTAAAACCAGTCTGTTTTTTAGGCTAGTGTGAGCATAGTGTCTATTTAAGAAGGATCCCGCACTGTCACAATTTCTGTTAACTATGCCATGAACCCCTTTTTGGAACATCCAGCTTCTAGATGTGTCTTTTGAGGAATGCCACTTTCATAGTGCAAACTTGGGTAGCACGTGCATCTCAAGGTGATGTGCCTCATAGCAAGTTTGAAGAGGGCAAGATCAAATCATGCATGCCTCTCTAAAATGCCTGATGATGTTGTTATGATTTATTTGAAACTCAGTTTATCAGCTGACCTGGGTTCTTGGCGTTCTTACAAGTCAAACTTGCAAGAGCGTTTTCTCCAGTTCACTGTCAAATTTGCGGCCTTTGGTCTTGGATAGAGAGAGACCGGGCTTACCTGGCTCTATCAGTTTTTGACAGAAGCTGGAAACGGCGCAGAGAAATTGTTATTGACTAGGAGGAGCGAGGCTAAATGGCTGGCCTGTTTAATTTCTTGCTACAGTAACTTTGCAGCTGTGCAGCTTGACAGCCAGGTTGAGATATGCTCTGGATGTATGAAAAAAGAATGCTAATGCCATTTAGTTGTGCTGCAGAACCAAGTTTTCAGCAGGGTGCAAGAACTCGCCTGTGTTTAGGATGTTTTGCCTTTTCCTATATATTAAATGTTTAACATCATACATCTTAGTTTTGAGACGGAAACAATTGAACTTCTTATTTCTTTGGACTGTCTCGTCCTTCCTCATTTATATTACTTTAAGTACCAGTAACTTTTTTTGTGAGCTATTTTATAAATTTACATGCTTCAGTATGAACTGTTTTTCTTCTCATCTGTTACTGTATGCAGAATGTTATATATGGGGAGAGTTATGTAAGTCTCATTCCTAAAATGCTAAGCACCTGTCAGTGTTTGTGGTTTCAGGTGAAATTTAAATTTCTCTGCATCCACAAGGTGGTGCTCCAGGGAAACTCCAGCTTTTGATTCTGTTCAGCAGACCTGACAGGAACAACTTCTATTTTGAGAATAAGGGTTTCGCTATATAACGTTCTTCATTCGTAGCTTGTCTGAATGGGAGCTGGGAAGAGAGTTTGCAGCATAGTTGCAAGAACTCTATTTTGGTTTTAATTAAGGAACTGTTCAGAAATGATACATATACAGCACGGGTAAGATATTGATAGCACTTTCCAAACACATTACAACATACATGCACAAAATAAGTGAAGTATGTCAAACCCTAACAGATTAGATGAGACTTTTTTTTTTAAATCTCTTTCAGTTTATTTTCTAGTGTTTGTAGGTATATTTTCAGAAGTGAAAACTGATACTCTTCAAGTAGAAGTTTAGAACCTTCTTCAGCCAAAGATGAAGCATTTAAATAAGTTAAAATGCTGTAATCTTCATGAAGGAAAACTCTCTTCCCTTCAGTGTACTCTGTACAAGGGAGCAGAAATGATATGGAGGTGATTTTTCTTAATGTTGGGAGAGTCCCAAGTCCCTGTGTGTCTATGTTTCCTTCCATCACCATTCTGAACTGGTTGTTGACTTCAGGAATCTGTTCCTCTTCCTACATTGCCTTGTTGCTGTAATGGAGTCATCCAGTGCAAGCTGAGTGGCAATTCCACTTTCCTGCAACCTTGTTTACAAGGAGCTTTTGGTAATGATGCCATTACTGATGGCTCTATAATAATAGCAGTGAATTAAATATTTCAGTTTAAGAATTGAGAAATATGACTCAAAAACTGAATTTTTAATTTACAGAACTAACTTCTTAACGTAGTTGACCAGAAAGTCCAGAGTTGGGAATCTGGAGACCTGCAAGTCTAATAGCATTCTAATAAGCGTAATGATGCAGTAGAGCGTTTCCAACAATAAATATACAGACCTTTAGAGAAAACTGCTTCCCACGTTGTCTGAAGGGAAGTTGATACATTTGTGCATCTTAACCCTGCTAGGGATTGCAAGTGGAGCATATTCACATATTGGATGACTTTCCAAGTAAGTCAATTACTTACAATTACTCATTGACTGCAGGAGTAAACCAAGATGTTCAAAGAGATATTTGGAAAAAAATTCTCTGTGTTGTTGCTCCTTTAAGAAGAGGCTATGAAACAAGGGACATTCGTGCAGAGGACTTGCATATCTAGGGAACTGGGAGACTACCTTTAGCAGGAAAACCAGCCAAAGAGGAAGGTGGGGACATCAAAGTACTGAGTGGTAAGAGAGCTCATTTTGGACTAAACATGTATCACTCTTGATTGTGTAGCTAAGCAGGTAGGTAGTAATAGGACTCGGTGAATGAGAGAGTCAAGAAATTTTTCAAGCTTCCATATAATATGTACATGAAAGGGATATATATTGTTCTGTAACGGTCTCCGTTGCTTCAAATATCAAAAGGAATTACACTAGTAAACTAGCACAGTTCATGGTTGATGTGCTTAGCAGTCAGAAGGAAATGGCTGTGCTTTTGCTTTCATCTGTATTTAGAGTATAAAAGGTCTTTTACCTTTTTTTTTTTTTTTTTTTTTTAAAAGCAACTTACCAATCATATTCGGGATACCCTGCCAGGCTTCAGGAGCAAACTCCAGAGCCAGCTGCTTTCTATAGAACATGAAGTAGAGGTGTACAAAAACTTCAGACCAGAAGATCCAACCAGAAAAACTAAAGCCCTGCTGCAGTGAGTGACTGGTTTTCCATCTGCTTATCCAATGTGTAAAAAGTTTTGTTTTGCTTCCCCGCCCCCCAACAGGTTTAAATTTGAAGATTAGGATATGGTTAAGGATACTATGTGCAAATGCTGAAGAGTTTTATGTGCTTGACATCCCAGAACATTTTTAGCTACTTAATATTACAATAAGATTTTTCCCTAAATTAATTTTAATAGTCATATGAAGGAGATAAAGTAGAATAGGAGAAGATGCAAAGATGGGCAGCATAGATGATCAAAGGTCAGAAAGTGCTTCCGATTGTGTAGATGGATTCTTGAGCTTGGAAAAAAGATGGCTGCAGGCCAGGGGATGAGGTTGCATTGGAAGTCTATAAGGTGAGGAGGCTGATGAAGGAAATGCTTTTTTTTCTACTATAAGAACTTGAGCATCTGAAAGACCTTGAAGGCAGCGTGTTTTAAAATTAATCATAGCAGGTAGTTCTTCACATGGTGTGTGTTTAAGACATAGAAATCCTTGCTGCAGGAGCTGATAATAAAAATTCATGTGCTTTTGGAAAGCAGCTAGACAAATTCTTGGGGATGGGGAAAAATATTCAAGGATAATAAGCACAGGGGCGCATCTCTATGGAACCTGCAAAGAGTAATTCATTGAGGCCAGGAGAGTATCCTGCAGAAATACCACTGTATGTTTGTCCCATTCTGGTACTTTTCCCTAGGTATCTACTATTGGTGGCTGTTATGACATGGCGGCTGTTCCACTCTAGCGCAGCCATTCTTATGTTCACGTAATAGTGTAATGAGGTGGATGAAAACCTCTTTGTTGCTTTGTGCTCTTCTGAGGCTCCAGAATTTACATAAAAACTGGTGGTTGTGGTATGCCAGCCATGCTTGTAGTAAAACTGACCTGACAGGTGCTGACTCTCTGAGGCCTGAGAAGCCACAGGGTGAACGCTGTTGTTGTGTGTTGTCTGTCTGACAAGATTTTGGTAACGCTAATGTAATGCGGTGCAATAGAGATGACTTGATCTGGCTTTGAATACTGTGTTTTTAGCATGAAGGAAGAAGGTCAATGCTGACATTAGGGACTGAAGCCTAGTTAGCACCTACTGCTTCTCTTCATGCAGCTTCCCAAGTTGGTCTGATTTAGGTATGCTAGCCATCCAGCATTGTCTACCTCATCCTTTGTTGCCTGAAAGATCTGCTGTTCTTAATTTTCTTTTTTAAATGTGGCCCTCTGTAGCCACTTGTATGTTCATATGCAATTAAACTTATCCGTTAGAAGAGGAAGCATCTACAGAAGAGAGAGAGGTTTTTCTGCCTTATATGACCATTGTTGTATTCCTACCTGGTTAATTTCAAAGGTTTTCAGCCTTCTCGGTTCTCTGGGATAGATGATAAAGGCACTGAGTTGTAAAAACGCGTAAGTTCTAAACAGGATGCATTCTCTTATTAATTGTCTGGAACTCGGAAGGGAAAATGGTCACAAGGACTAAAGAGGCTGTCTTGAGCCAGCTGAAGACTTTGATTTAGTCTTGTTTTCATAACAGCTCTGTCCAGAAGAGTGGGCACTATTATCTGTCCCTTATGGCTTTGCTTTAGATCCTTTTTTCCTACTTAAACATCTAGGGAGATCACCAAGGACCCTTCCATGAGAGGACAACACAAGTGTTTTTTTCTTACTGTGTATATGTGGAGAATTAGCTGCTGGAAACGAGTGTATGAAGTGTATTGAGTAGTTAGGTGTTGCTGGCATCTCACGCTGCTTCTACTGCTGTAACACTTTCCGAAGGAAAATGAATTGAATTCCTTTTCAACTAAGTCATCCCGCTTGGTACTTCTCTGCATAGTTCTTCTAATTCCTTCATTATAAGTAGGTGTTTTAGGAGAAATTAACTTATTTTGTCAGTAAAAATTGTCCTCATTTTTGCTTTTTCTTTCTGAAGAAAAAAACTCTCCATTTTCATATGGAAAATAGCATATCTAGAAACCTCTTCCTCTGACATTCAAGAACAAGTTCCGTAACACACAAGAAGAAAAAACCTGCCTCCCCCACCCATAAGATGACATTGAGTTTCTGTAACCCTCTTCATAAATTCAGTTGGAGCTCTACACTTGCACTGTTTCCACAACCCTGTTAACCTAGGCTATACAGGTATCTCAGGTTTAAGTATGGTTGATACACCATTTTACTTTTTGGCAGCTCTGTCACTTCAAGTTTTATGACCAATTGCCTGTGCTTAGTTTAAAAAAAAAATTGTTGGGGCTATCCCTGAGTATTCTGTAACTGGAGGAGTTCTCCTCAGTGCTCTTCTAAATGCTTCTGCTGCAGAAGTCTAAGCACAACCAGGCAAGCTGGAGCTTGTGGTACTCATAGCTGCCACATTGACTTGTTAGTACTACTTCTTGGGCTACCTCATTTGAGCATGGGAAAGTAAGTTCCTTGGTCACCTCTTCCAAATCTTCCAGTACAGAATCAGCTTAGAGGCTTGACTCACATCATACTATTAACTATATCTTTTGGAAAGATCTTAGAAAGATCAAAAGGGCATTGTGGAGAAGTGAGCTGTCTGCAAAGGATACCTTTTGTCATAAGACTGGTGATTTTTGTCTGCACCCTTGATCTCTGCTGTTTCTTTAATAGCATCTAAATGTGGGTGTGCTTTTTCTACTCAAATGCATTCTAAGTGTTGTAGCTTAAACTTCAAGACTTTTATTTGCTTATCCTACTACAAAGACTGCCATCAGTTATTCTTTTCTAAAAAGTGTATGTAGTAGATGGTTGTAGCTCTTACAATTTTGTCATCACTGATTAAAATCAGGAACGTAACCTGGTACTCTGCTGTATTTATAGCTGACTTTAACATACAGTTTCATAAAAAGTATTTAAAAAGTAGGAAGAAAGAAAATAGAATACTAAGCTATGTTCTATGAGGGATGAGAACTGTGCATATGTAGAGGACTGGATTTACAAATACCGTGAGTAGTATAGCACCTTGGATTGGCATCTTGACTAAATGAATTGTTGTTATAGATACTCTTATCACCTCCTAAACATGTTTTAATTGGGCAGTAGTAGTCACATAGTACTGAAATAGGAGTTGGTAGTTGACCTACTTAAATGTTTTTGTTTGTTTGTTTCCCACCCTTTGAAATTTAGGATGGTCCAACAGTTTTCAGTGGACTTTGAAAAAAGAATCGAAGGATCAGGAGATCAGGTTGACACATTAGAACTTTCGGGAGGTGCGAAAATCAATCGTATTTTCCATGAGCGTTTTCCATTTGAACTAGTGAAGGTATTTATCTTCCTGTGTGTTTTGAGTTTTATATGTGTATTTTTATGTTCATATTGATAGAAGTAAAGCAAAGGAGGTTTGATTGGAGGAACACACTCTTAATTGAGGAAGAAATTACACTAAATGATTATTGGGGCACTTTTCTAGTTATTAATATTGTGACCTGCTGAGCATTGCAAAATACAATATTTAGATTTTAACTGTGGTCCCAGTTCTTAATATCTTCTTTACCTTTTTTGTTTTGTTTATTTTTTTTTGTTCTAACACAATTGGCTTTATTCTGCTTAAATGGGGCAGGGAAGAAACAGTAGTTGATGTAACTTAGGTTGCCATGTTCAGGTAGCTAGTATGTATTAAAACGAGAGTTGTGGAAAATAGCCATTTTCTGACTTTCCTACTTTTTGTCTTCTGAGCGTAAAACAAAGCCAATTTTCAGTCCCGTATTTTTATTGTGGGAAGGGGAGAGGAGAAGCAAATTTCATATTCAGTCCTAGCTCCCCCCCCCCATCCTGCCCCATGCCCTCTGCAATGCATCTCCCCTTACCTGTCCGTCCTTTAGCCAACAGAATAATCTGATGTTTAGTGAGCTGTGAACTAATGAAAGCTGGTTTCCTATGGATTTGCATTATATATTCTTTCACCTTTTCTTGCAATGCAGTGACTTCAGCTTCCTCTTACCTTGTACCCTATTTCTATTTCCATTCTCTCTGCCACACGTTTCCTAAGCTTCCTTTTCATCTATCTTACGCTCAGCTCCTTTGATATTCCCTGACTTTCAGCTGGATAACTGTCGGCCAGGGTTGTGGGTGCTTCCAGGGTTTAAACGTGTAGGTCAACTAGCAGGCCAACAGAATAGATGAGAGTTGGGCCTAAATAACGACCATTTTGTTCGTGACAAAAGTAACTTGGATACTTGGATCTTTCATCTTTTGCCACCTGATGTGCCAAGAAATTTGTGGGTACTTCATAGACCACCACTCTCTCACATTTGGTTAAAAAATAGGGTGGGAAGGGGAGGATAGACAGAGAACATAGTCATAGAAGTTGCACTGCTTTGGGAAACCTGACTTAGAAAAGTTGTATCTTCCAAATGCTATTTCTGGTTCACTCTGTCATCTCATGTCTCTCTTGGGATGTTCTGCAAAACCGTTCTAGCTGTTGATGTGTCTAGAGTGGAAGGGTGCATAATTTACAACAATTTTTGCTGGTGCCCGTAGCCTTAGTGTTAAAATGTTTTTAAATACTTGTGCTTTATGTTAAGTGTAGTTAAAAATGAATATTTTGCTAGTTGAACTCACCTATCTTCCAATTATACTGGGAAAAGTAATATTTTCTATTTTATTTAAAAGCTATCCTTAATATGATCTCAAACTTTTTTGTTTCTTTAGATGGAATTCAATGAGAAAGAACTGCGGAGAGAAATAAGTTATGCAATCAAGAACATACATGGTATCAGGCAAGTGCTTCCCATGTTTACAAGCTCATACACATTATAGAAGTTGTAGTCTTTTTTAATCTGTGGGCACACTTGCTGTCCGTTGCTAGATTACGTTACAAACTCACTGATCCCAGCAGTTGACTACTTTTCCTTCCAGTTCTTCATGCTTTGGTTTTCCAGGTAGGTATTTTTGACTTACAGTTGCTTTGCATAAAGAGGTTTAACTTGCTTGGAACTTCTGGGAAATTATTTTACAGAGAAAATCAGTGACTAGTATCTTTTTTTTTTTTTTTTTTCCTCCTGGTAGTGCTTCTCGCTCCTGCTAAAGTATATCCTTTAACTTCCAATATAACACAGGATTTCCGCTGCATCAAGGCTATTGGAGTTAGTGTAACTGATTGCATTCACAGTGGAGCGATTCTTAGCTTTCCCTTTTCTGCTCATTTTTAATTGCCTTATGAGTTAAATTCAACATCAGCTGTAAATCCTATATGAAATTTGGATGCATGGTGGACATAACTGAAAGAGAGCAAAGCATTTATTGAAATTGTATTCTTTGATTATAATGCCTATGGCTTGGGGGAAGCTGGCATAGTCGCTCACTTGGGGAATTTTTAGTTTGTGTGTTGAACTTTGTTCCTGCAGTAATAATATTAAAAGCCATGAAGAAGTATTTTAATTTTGCCTGATAGCACAGAAAGCCTCTGCGGACAAGTCAGAAACCTCTAGAAAGTAAATGATGAAGCACCAGTTCAAAGGCCATGTGTGATGGTATTTGAAACTTGAAATGTTAGCCTATTGGGGGTGCTGCTGGTACTTGGAATGTTACAACTGCTACAGCTGAGTGAAGTTCTGCTTCAAAGGCTGACTGTTATATGTTATCCTTAAATGTCAAAGATGTCAGCGTGAAAGTTGTTCGACTGTTGATACCAAAGTACCCACAAAATATCCAAACATTCTTAAACAAGTACTGTCCTACTCAGTAGCATTTGTTCGTGGCTTGGTCTGTACCCTTTCGTTCATGATATGGTTGGCTTCTCCTAGAGTCCTTCAGTAGCAAACGTGTCTAGATAGTAAACAAACATCACCTCGGATATTTTCTACCAATGCTTTGGGCTTATACTTCTAGCTATTTTGGATGCCTTCTCAACATCCTAGTTCTTTTCATTAAACAGTGCCCTGCAGAGCTATTTCCTTAGGCTTTTCCCCTTTTTTACGTCAGAACTCCTACCAGAAGTATTTCTCACCGGTTTTTAAAAAAGAAGCCATACTTCTATTTATGTGTCTGTGTCTAAGAGTGGTGATACAGACAAGTTCACTGCCATTTGAACCGTGCGAACAACTAGTCAGACTCCTATTAAATTTCTTCTGTTGTATCTTTCATAAACTTCATCACCTAGAATAGGAGGAGACTAAGAATCAAAATGTGGCACATATCAACAGTGGACTGGCAAAGTCAGCTTCTAGCTCTGAATGAATTGTGCTAATTCTTGCTAGAGACTCCTGCCTTTCGGACAGATGAAAGCTTGCAGCTCCACCTCCTGGCATTAGATGAGAGCTTCTGCCTACCTGTTCTCCATTATTGCTTTATTCACTAGATTAGATTGAATTCATTCATATATCTGTTGCTGTAGAAAATATCTTTTTCTTGCCTTTTTTTCTATATTATTTTTGTTCTGTGAGTCTGCTAGAGCTTCAAGGGACTGTATACGTTTTCTGTCAGGGATAGTACGGAAACTTTTTAGTAAACGTTATAACTTAGCTGAAATTGCTTAAGCATATGTTTGTAAGTGGGTTTTGCTGATGTGAGCCTAATACCAGCTCTTTATCCAGGCTTAAAATTGGATCTCTAGTGTTGTCAGGCAGGATGATATACGGAAATCTGAAAGATAATGTGCAAAGCAACACCTTACCTCAAGCAGTTTAAGGTTCTAAAGGTATGCAGTGTTCACCTGATCTTGTCCTAGATTAATGCTTATCTGGGGTATGTGTTGGGGTCCATCTGCACCATCTTTTGGTACGAGGCATTTAGAAACCAAAGAAATCAAGGTTTACAAGGCTCTGGTTAACTTGCAGCAGTTTGTCTAATCCTGGTTACTTTATTCTTAAGTCAGTGACGATTAAGGTCAGACTTTGACAGACGTCCTAAGGTCAGAGTTTCTGTTAACTAATGGGCAGATATCACTCCTTACCGTTTCTACTAAGAAACTATCAAGTCTGGAAAGCGTCACATTCTGTGTGGTGCTGTATCTTTGGCTTTCTATTTGAATGGAGGGCAGCCTGGCAGAGACGACGACTTCTGGAATTGCAGTCTTGTTATGAAACCTTTTCCAAGAATTTGGCTATATTGGCATTACAAAAACACAGGAATTCTTCAAAAAGCTCCCTTTGTTCTGAAAGGGAATTGTGTGCATCTGCAGCTTTGGCCCAGAGGTGTGATCCTGCATCTACTAAATCTTTTTCTGTGCTGGGGTCGTATATTCTGTGGAAGATCAAGCAGGGCCAGTGGTGCCTGTTGAACTGTATCTTTCTGGATATCGGTGTTTTATATTTGAATCTATCACTCTGATCTTGGAACATCAAGTCTGTCCTTCAGTTTTCATAGCATCAAAGCCACACCATCCAGGTGGGAGATTCCTAAATATGGTCACCTGGAATGTGTCATGTCAGAGTCCTGATCCAGAGTCCTTGCAAGCTATTGAGCCAATATTCCTGAGAAGTCATAAGTCTTCGAGGGAAAGCTTATATCTTGAGGTGGAAAAGAACTTCCAATTTGTGTTGCTGTCCACCAGGCTCCTTGCAACTGTAGGTTTCTTACTGGTTTACTATGGAAATGGTTGGGTGTGGAGTGCTGCAGCTGCCATGCATCCCTGCCCTAAGAAGGTATTGCACTGCTGAAGAGGCTTCACCACATAGTTCTTCGGAGTTCTGGCTGTTGCCTTCAAATAGTAGGGCATGTTTCTACTTTTATATTCTTACTCCACAATAAAACTGATTTTTAAGGAGAAACGAGTAAATTGAGTTCTATGGAATGCTGTTTGTTTAGGGATATTGTTGTATTCATCTGTAAGTCTCTGAAAATGAAGATATGAGCAATTCAGTAGAAAATATTCCTTGAATAATGTTTGTCTTACATATTCTATTATGTCCACAGAACAGGTTTGTTTACTCCAGACATGGCTTTTGAGGCTATTGTTAAAAAACAGATAGTGAAGCTGAAAGGACCTTGCTTAAAAAGTGTGGATCTGGTGATGCAAGAGTTAATCAACACTGTCAAGAAGTGCACTAAAAAGGTAACTTGCCAAATAGGTTTGTTGACTGTGGAAGTATCATGTAAGGATATAGTAGATAAGCCTGTTTTGTGTTTTATGGTATTACAGTGAATTTTGTATCCAGTCACTTGCTGAACAGATTAAGATGCTCAAATGTAATTATCACTTCTGCAAAACTCAAAGCAATGTAATGCTGAAAATGTTCATTTTTTTGATTCCTGTGTTTTGACTCTGTGTACGTTTTCTTTGAGTTAGATGTTGCCCCCAGTTTCCTCTTTATAGCCCTGTGTTCATTGGTACTACAAAGGGAACATAGGCAGCGGTTCTTCTGATGTATAGTTCAGAAAAAAGATTGTGCTCTGAAGTTTTCCTTTGTAATGCTAGTAAGAGGAAGAAACTGTGAAACCTTTCTGGAGCAAAGGTCTCAAATGTATTCAAAGAGTAGATATGTCAAGGAGGAGAAAATGCTGTGTCTGTATTGAAACTTTACTGGGTAGCACCATGTTCCTTTGGTACGTAAGGGGGACACTAAACACTTTCTGTGCTTTCTTCGTACACAAGCTCAAAACTTCTGATCTACAACTGTCAAGAAGCTAGAAGTGGAAAGCTAGGAAGATTTCTTCTTCCTCGTACTTGTTCATGTTCTTGCATTAGAGTGTTGAAGAATGAGCTTGCAGCACAGAAATGTCAAACTCTGAAGTGGAAAGAATTGCTGTGCCTTGAACTTCCTGATATGAAAGTTGCGTGCCTCAAGTAAAATATAACTCAAGATCCCACAAGTATAATAAATTAACAAGTCAGTTTATCAAATTAAACATAGCTTTACTGTGAATTTTTGGGAAGGGTTTTCCTGAAGTGTGTGCTTAGGTTTGATTATGCTTTTAGAATAAAACCCCAAGGTCTCCCCCTTCCCCACACCCCCGAACCACCAGCTGTGTCTAAGGAAGAACATCAGAAGTTCATATGAAAGATAAGAAGCTGAATGAATGCAACAACCAGAAATTAATTGAGTATACTTCATTGACCTGGAAAGACTTTTTTATTCTTTTTTTTTTCTTTTATACTTTTCCCTTTGCTGTGGGACGTTCTGGAAGATCCCATTGACTACTGTGGATTTCTTTGCTTTCAATGTAAAGAATTTTCTTCGTCATCTTGAACTGGCTAGTTTTACTTCTGTTTCACTTTCTCTTGTTCTTCTATCTTTCTCACCATCTCAGAATACACAGTGCCCTAATAGTAGTAAGTAGAGGAGTGATTCTGGGATGTGAGCACAGATCTGCTGCGGTTGTTGAGAAGTATCCTGCCTTGTCCTCTGCATAATAAAACATTTTGTACCAATGAGCTGCTAAAGGAGCTATTTCCAAAACTAAGAAAGGATGACAGTCTTTGTAAAAAGATCATTAGGAAGCAGACTCTTCAATATTTTAAGCTGAATTTCCAGGGCTTTTTTCACTTTTGTCAAATTTTGGAAAGATAAGCCACTTGAATTAGTTGTGCAGATTCTCTTCCCAGTGCTATTGGTTAAACTTAACGGTGACTGTCTTGCTGTTCACGTTTTCAAGTACCGTTCTTGAGATGTACAGAGGTTGCCACAAGATGGAGCCTTCAAAGAACAAGACACTTTGAAATTAAAGCACCACTCTGCAATAGACACAGGAGGAGAGAGGTGTGGAGGCCCCTCACCGCAAGGCTGATAAACTGGGGTTTGCCTGTGGGTGCTAAAAATTGTACCCTGCTCAGTTGCTCTTGAGTTAATACAGTAGCAGCATAGCATTTCTTTCAGGTGTGCTTAATGTTTAGGAGTTGTGTTCAAGCCTGTGTCTTGTTTTTCTTCTGGTTAGTTTGTCTTCCAGACTGTTCAAGCATGCATCTTATTGGTACTACTGCAGCCACTATGGGTTAGTGCATCTAAGCGGGATGACTGAACTATTTAAAGATAAATATACTCATCAGTTTAAAATTTTGCTAATGTCATAATAGACAGGCAGTAGTTTGTCACGGAAAGCTCTTTTTAATCATGTGATTTCTGGACAGTTGGGTGAAATATACCTTGTTTGGAGTACATTCTCCTCCTCTTTGAATGGTTGACTCCTAGTGCTTTAGCTGTTGAAGCTTTGTTACTGTGCTATCTGCACCGACTTTCAGGATATATAGATTTAGGAAAAAATCCTTTCCCTTATGCCTTCAAATTAGCTTCAGTGGAGCTTTGTATTGGCAGCATTATATCTATATCTCCAGGGGCGTGCAATGTGCTAAAGCAGTATGCAGCGTGCAAGAACAGTCAGCCCTTTCTGACCTCTTATCCCAGATCTGCATTTGGAGTCTTCCACTGCCTCTTGGTGGGGTTGGCTGGACTGTGGCAAACTGGGCTGTTTCAAGGATTATTTATTTAAACAGATCATTTTGCAGCTTTGTCTTAAGTACTGAGAGCCTACTCTAGGAAAAGAAAATATTTTAAATGTGTACTGTTAGGAAGAACTGTTTGGTTTTTTTTTTTAGTTAATTTTGACAGCTCATTTTCACCTGTCTGGATTGGAAAGAGACCATTTTAGAAAATGAAGGTAGATAAATGATAAATATTTGTTAACATCTAATTTTAAGGAGCTTGAAGTGTGGTCATTCTATAGACATACCTCTTTTCTTTCCTTGGTAGAATATGTATATGCACATATGTATGTATATACATGTATATATCCACATCTACATATAGATATGTAATACAAACTCTTATTGTTATAGAAGAGACTGGGGTATATTTTCCTACCAGTGGGGCACTGCTTTCTTTGCTGGAGTCTTTCATCTCTAAACACTGACTTCAAAATAGAATGATAATTTGTTTCCATTTTTAATGAGTTTAATATGAACCAGGTGACTGAATGAAATTCTGTATCCATCGGGAGGTCTATCAGTTATTCAAACTTCTTGTTCTTGTCTAAGGTGGTAACAGGTGACTGAAAACAAAGTTGGAGTAAACAACCTCCAAAAAGAACCCCAAAATCCCAAGGAAAAAAGACCCTAGACTGATTCAATACAACAGTCTGGATATTTCTTAGTAACACCTTAATTCATCCACACTTTCTAAGTACTTTGTATAAAAATGGTTTTTGTTCAGAGCTTTTCTTTATAGCAAATCCAAACGGAGAAAGAAAGCTATCTTAGCAGTCTGCTATTCTTGATGTATATTTATGGATCAGCTTCTTCTCTCTTTCCTTTTCATGCTTTTGGAGAGATTTACTTCATATCCAGACAAAAGAAAAGAGCTGAAAGTATTAGGATTCCAGTGTCACAATTACTTTATTCCAAAAATTTATGTCTGGAAAGGCTCACGCTTCCCGAATCATCCTTCTCTTCTTGAATGTTCCATGGAGTGAAAGCACAGAAACAATGCAAGGGTTTAAGTCCCTTTAGGCTTTCTCAGAAATTACCACTACTAGCAAGTAAGGCTTGGTCTGTAGTGTAGTCAGTTTTTTGGTAGCAGCATTTATAACACTTGCTTTCCTCCAAACAGGAAAGCTGGAGACTCCCCTATCTGTACTCTAATGAAGTCACCCTGCAGGTGTAAATTCCTATTCTTTTTGCTTTTCAGTTGGCAACATATCCAAGGCTGTGTGAGGAAACGGAAAGAATTGTTGCTGGCTACATTCGTGAAAGAGAAGAGAAGACCAAGGATCAGGTGAGAATAAATAAGAGATTTAACAGTTTGGGAAAATGTGTGGAGAAGGACTCTTCTTGAGAATATTTGTGCAATGTTTGGAAAGTTCTTACGTACAAAAACCAGTAAGATAGTGAAAGACCCCTTTTGCTTCCCCTTTTGCTTCCCCTTTTGCTTCCCCTTTTGCTTCCCCTTTTGCTTCCCCTTTTGCTTCCCCTTTTGCTTCCCCTTTTGCTTCCCCTTTTGCTTCCCCTTTTGCTTCCCCTTTTGCTTCCCCTTTTGCTTCCCCTTTTGCTTCCCCTTTTGCTTCCCCTTTTGCTTCCCCTTTTGCTTCCCCTTTTGCTTCCCCTTTTGCTTCCAATATTTGTGCAATGTTTGGAAAGTTCTTACGTACAAAAACCAGTAAGATAGTGAAAGACCCCTTTTGCTTCCCCTTTTGCTTCCCCTTTTGCTTCCCCTTTTGCTTCCCCTTTTGCTTCCCCTTTTGCTTCCCCAACTTAGGCAGGTTACGTGCCTGGGAAAGGCAGAGAAACTGCTCCTCTGCCACCCAGCTTTGACAGAGGAGACTAGAATTGTTATAGAAAATCCTAATCTGGTCTTTCAAGAGAAAGTGGAAATAGCAAGTTTAGGATAGTTGCTGGCAGTAGAGGTCCTGCAATAGCCACTCTTGCTGTCAGTGCCTGTGGAGACTGTGACCCCGGAAGGAGGATGGTGTTCTGGTTTTTTTTTTTTTTTTTGGTAATGATTGTCTTCCTGAGCCACAGGTAATTGTCTAATTTAGAATAAGCCTTGCATTCCCCTACTTTATGGTGAGGATCTCAGTACTCTGTCACATATTCATCTTCCTTTTCCTCCCTATTGTATTGTGTGTTTCTTGGCTGTGGGTGATGAACATGCTTCTTTCACAGGAAAATAATGAAAGTTGGGGGAATTTTTCTCTTTTCTTTATTTTAACGCAGTGATTGTAGTTCTCCTGTTCCTCTTGGTTGGTCTGCAGGCATACAGGACTGGGAATTACCATTTAAAAAAAAATATTCAGGCAAACTCTAATGTTTTTTCTCTTCAGTATTTGAATGGAACCAAGACTTACTTTTTTTTTTTTTTCCATTAAGCATTAAGAATGCCGACTAAAAGAGGGAGTCACTTTTTGTCTCAGTGCTTGTGAGTTGGGATGTGTGGAGTTCTCAGTTCTTCTGCCTGTTCTATGAGCTGACTGGGCATAGCCCAGCTCGAGGGCTGCATTCAGACTAATACGACCTGCCTCGTTATAGCGGGCCTTGTTAGCCTGGATACGTGACTGCAGGCAAGTAGACTGCAGACCATGGTACCTTATATCTTGTGAGCTCAAGACAGGACTCCAGGATATTAGGCCCAGTGGCAACGGTGGCTTAAAGCAGTTTCTGTGCCAGTATGCCATCCTCTTAGCTGTGCCATAACACCTGTGTATGAAAAACCGATTCATGATTAAACAAATGCACACAGAAATATCCAGCCTTTTTTCTGCTTTGTTTTCAGGGTTTTTTAACAAACCAGTCCCGTGTTCTAACTACAGTTGAGCCCACAAGCAGTTGTACTGAGACACTTAAGGAAGTGACAAGCCATGTAGTCGATGTGGGAGCTCAGGCAAGCATAGCTACTGAAGTTCTGTGTTATTGAACAGTAGTGTCAGCGTGCAGGTTGAGAAACTTGGCCCGTCTTTCTCAGGCTATGTCAGCAGGCTTGTCGGCAGGTGTAGTGTAGAACCACTGGAACTGACCATGCTAGTGAGCAAGGACTATTGTGTGCTTTGAAAGTTAGTCTCTCAAACCTGAAGATCAGTAAGACAATTTTTCTTTTGGATTCTAAAATTGGCAAGAAAAAGACTCCCTCCTGTGGCCTTTCTAAAAGGTATGGACTGCTATCAAGCTGGTAATTTTGTGCTGTGGCATTTTAAACTCAGGCTTTCAAGAGTTTGGTAATCAGCACCATTCCATGTTCTTGAGCGTACAGCTTTTCTGACTGTTGAAAGCTGAACTCTTGAAGTTTACAAAAAAAAAAAAAAAAAATTTCCTATTCAGAGCAACCTCTCTAAGAACATTCATCAACTAGCCAAGCGCTCAAATCCAGGAATCTTCAAAGCTTAGATTACATGTGAGAAAATGTCCTGGAAGTGGAAGCAGGAATTATGGTCTGGAGAGCACAGAGCTGGATGACGGATATTTGGGGGAAGCAGGGCTAGGCAGAATTCTTATGTAGTTCTGTGCTCCAGACTCTCTAATCATGTCCCTGTGCAAGTTTGGGAGCTGTGCAACACATCCTGCTTCTTTTCTCTTGATCTGTGCTGTGAATGTAGACCTAAAAGTAATTTTACATACTTGTATGTGCTGCCTGCAGGGAGCTTCAGTTAGCACACCTAGTTATTTCAAAATTTGGAAGAAGATACTAGTTACTTAAAATAATTGAATCTTTTTTTTCTTCTTATTCCATTCTTCAGTGTGTGCACATACCTGGCAATTTCCCAGAACAAAGTACAAAATATCATCTTTCCATAAATGCTAAGAATTGGGGTCAAATAGGTTATTGCCACATATTCACATAATTATTTGCGCTTTTAGCAGTTATTGTTAACAAACCAAAATGCAAATGAGGAAATTGTGAGAGGTAAGAGCTAGATGTTAAATCCTCGCTATCTTTTGCTCTGAGTGAGGCTCTCAGTATCTTTTGGAAATGGTGAAGAATTTGGAAATGATGCCATATTTTTGAAGCTGCATAGAAATAACTGTGTACACTTTGAGAAGATCAAATGCTGAAGAAAAAATCCAGCAGACTTATTGTCTAGTGGTTAGATCTTATTCAAAAGTACAGCAGCATGATGCCTTGATAGGGCACAGTAAGGCATGTAGAAGTTAGGGCTTTAAATCGGAAGCAAATGGGTGGGGTTTTTTTGGTTAATGACTCTTTTTTTTTTTTTTTTTAAAAGATGGAGCCTTCTATTTTCATAAAGTGGTCATAATTTCAATATTTTATCAAAAAACAACTTGCTTTATTTTCACAGCTGAGGCATATCTATCCAAGTGTTCCTGCCCACCACGGTCTGGCAATAGCATTTACTGATAAGTTGCTGTCCCTGAGGCATAGGCTTAGCATGTAAACTGGATTGGATAATAATGCAATTTTATACTGTTAGTCCTGGTTCTGAAGCTTTAAATAGGAGCAGGAGAAAATGCTAGAAGGTTTCCTCTTTTCTTATGTGTTCAGCCAGGTTTCTTAGGAAATTTGGAGACTCGATGGTAACAATTGATTGTTTCTTCCTTGCTCCCTGCTGAGAAATGGAAGTCTGAAAAGATAGAGGGGAAAGTGGAGCCATGGTTTCCTTCAGTCTCGTGCATGTTCAAGAAGCTGTCCAAGTGTGGAACAGAGTGAACTTTCTCCAATATCTTATCAGGTTGTCTGCCTAGTTAGATTGAGAGTTTCATTTAAATTTTGTCTCTGGAATATTGAAGGATCAACAAATGATAAGTTGAAACGTTTCTCTCTTACAAACCATTTATTTTGTTGTTTCATTGAGTAGGCCATTTCTCAAGCTTGATTTGTGCATCAAAATTTTCTGGGAAAGGGCTAGCTTACATACCACCTCTTAATGTAGTACCTAAAGAAAATGATGCCCCGATTTTAGGTTTAAAGTTCAGGTTCATTGCTAGTCTGACTGGAATGGTGTGAACAGACTGTGTTTTATCTGACTTGAAAAATGTAGAGCTACAATCTGTATTACATATTATTAAACTCTTCTTCTGACCCCGTGTGATTAGTCTTAATGAAGTGAGTAAGAGCCTCACTGGTATTTAAAAAAAAAAAAAAAAAAAAAGTGAGGTCCATCAGGAAAAGGACAGGAGGAGGAGAACAGGTCTTCTTAGTCTAGCTTTTGAAACAAGCATAGAAACAGAAGTGGTGGGATTTAGGAAATATTCTTGCTTTTAGCTTGAGTAATCTTGAAAGAAACATTCAGTAATGCAGCAAACTCAAAGTTCTGTTCTTCTCTCCCTCCCTTTTCCTCCACCTCTCTCCACCCCCTCCCCGACCTTCCCCAACTGATATCCCCTCTCCCCAATAGGTACTGCTGTTGATTGATATCCAGGTATCTTACATCAACACCAACCATGAAGACTTCATTGGCTTTGCAAAGTATGTATATAAAGACTTTGTTAAAATTGTGGGGGTGGTTTTGTTTTGTTTTTAACTAAGTCCAAAAAACAAACCTTGAAGTGTGCTAGTAGTGATGTTAGCTGCCGAGTCCCAGACAGGCAGGAGCTTAATCTTTTTCAATATATACTATGCTGAACTCTGTATGCTTGCAGCTCTAGAGGGGATTCTTTCCCCAGTTCACAAGCATGGTTTCACTGGAACTCAAACTTATGTCTTGGTCTGGAATCACATCAGTCTCTGGAACCAACTTTGGAGACCTAATGCCCTCACTATATCCGTTTTAGGACCACAGAAATGTGTAATGTTGGTGGCTCCTCGACATGCCAATGAATATTTTGGGAGCTGTGATTCTGAATGAAACAGTGTTGCCTAAGGTAATGGATGTTGCTGAATTTAAGTGTGCCAGCTGTTTGGCTGTGGAGGATGATAGTAGCAGGATGCCCTCCAGGGCATGGTTTGATAGTTCTCTTCTCCAGAATATTCTCCAGAATATTCTCCCAGCTTCCGCCAAGTTGTGCCTCAGGGACTTCATAGGAATATTTTGACACTAGTAAAAATGTTAGAGATGTCTTGACTCTTTGTAGAACAAATGTTTCTTCAGTCATTTTCATGCCATATGTGTGACTCGAGACACAGCTATGGCAGCAGGTTTCATGTGTGTGTGATGTTGGCAACTAACTTCAGCACCACAATACATGTTATACTAGGGCCTATTCTAGATAGCACTATGGAAGGAGATCTGTGTCTTTAGCAGTATGCTGTGACGGTTTAAAACATGGAATCCAGTAATCTAAGATGGAAGTGGGCAAAGCCAGGCACTATTTGTGTGTTTAGTTTGAACAAATTTGTCTAGTATTGTTTGCAGATCCTAGATACCTTTATCACTTCTCTTGAAAAATGACAGGATGTTGTAGGAATAGTAGCAGGCCTTCTAGAGGTCAAGATAACAACCTGCCTGCTATTTATTCCTCTTCATCCTTTTCTAACAGGAAAAAGCTGCTAAAAACACTCCATATATGTGTTGTGTGTGTATGTGTATAGACAGCATGTAGAATCATAACTCAGGTTTGAGAGGACCTTGGGAGGTTGTTTAGTCCAATCTCCTGCTCAGAGGAGGGTCAATGCTGAATTCCTACCAGGTTGCTCAGTTTTGTCCGATTAGATCTTGAAAACTTCCAAAACTGGAAATTCCCCGGCCTCTCTTTGGAGCCTGTTCCAATGCCTACCTGTCCTCACTGTGGAAAGATTTGTTTTGTTTTGTTTTTGTGTTATATGAAGTTGAAACCTCCCCTGTTTTATAGCCTTGGATTCTGTAGTGTCAGGTTTGTCTGGAGCTATCTCACGATGCCTCTCCCTGGAAGAATCTTTTTCATGGATGCTACTGCTGAGGACTGTAGTTCAGTCTTGTGGTCCTCACTCCTGCATCTTTTCTAAGGAGCTGCAATGCCCAAGTTCAGTTTCATAGGAAAATTTCTTCCCCTTTTGCCAGTTCAGACGTGGAACTTCCTAGCCCCTGTGTAAGGGGTATAAACAGATAACAATTGACGCTCCAACTAAGTTCATTGGATATGCTACGTTTAAGAAAGTGTTTCTGCGGAAACTGATGGGAAGGCAAGTATCTTTATTGAATCAAACTCAGATGGAAGATGAAACTTGGATAGCTAAGAACAAGTTAAAATTTAAAATATATTAATGAGCTAAGCAGTAGAAAACGCATTTTAAACTGTCTGGTTCTAACATATAATTGCTGTAAAAATGATTATAATGAAGTAAGTTTTGAATAGCTTACAGGCTTCTGCAGTATCTAAACATCCTGGACTATAGTATCGCCAGATACCCTGGTGTTTTGTTTCTTTTTCTGAGCCTCCCAGCCAATTGTCTCATGTCACTGCAATGTTTTATAGGTGTAAGTTCTGTTACGCTCTTTCTTAGGAAAGAATGAGAGCACAAGACCCTTAAAAACACTTTGTAGCTTTGCAGGGCCTAAGACAGGTACAGCACAATGTAAATTGCTGTCAAAATGATTTAAGAATACCAATATTTAGAATGATTTTTGCTCTTACAATAATTACAAAGAAATGTATTTACTTTTCTGAAATCTTAGAATATTAATGTTTGTTTTGTTTAGTAGAATGTTCAGTAAAATATTAGGACTGAGTTTGTTTCCCGTTGGTGTAAGCCAAGCATAGATACGTGCTTCAATCTACAGGAAGAGTAATTTGTATTTAGAGCAGTAAATAATGGACCAATTGCTGGGCTTTGTTTAAAAAGGAGTGGCTTGCTTAGTATGATGTCAGTGCCTATTTCGTTAAGCTTCCCTAAGGCAACAGAATGAAAACAACCCGGAAGAGTGCTTTAGGAAACCTAATTGCCAATCATCTTGTGTGTTTTACTGTAACAACAGCTCAGCATTGATGAAGGGTTAGTGCTATCTTTTCTGTGTACAAGTTATTTAACCATGATTTATGCACCATAATTTATGCAGTCCAGATGAGGCACTGGAGATATGCAATATAATTTGATCCCAAGTGTCTAGGTGACTGAGAGCAAAGCCCAGCAAGCAGGCACGTGTAGTAAGCCTACACGTGGCTTGTCACACTGACAAGTGGACTAATGATTTGACAGGGTACAGTCTTAAATGCAGGATCAGAGCTGGGGCAGGGCTAGACTTAATGCTTCAGCAATTCTTCAGAACAGCAGTTGTACACAAAACAGTTGCAGGATTGATCCTGTAGGCTGTGATCCAAGCACATCTCCCCTTTTTCATAGTAGTGTTTGTAGCTGATCTAATATGTAGGCTTTTTTTTTTTTTTTCCTGTTGCTTGATCAGTGCCTGCTGAAATGGTATAATCTCATCCAAACAAAACTTATTGTCACCAGTAGCCAGTCTGGTGGTTTAGTAGCCAAAGCCTGCTGTTTGAACACTTTTTATTTTATTTTTTTCCTTTTCTTCAGCAATATTTTAATTATGTGGTGTAACACAAATTTGCACATAACGCAAATACCTTTAGAGGTAATAGTAACTTGTATGTTGTTGAGACAGGAGTGTGTTTTGTTTCAGGAATGGGAATTACCAGAGTTCAAGAACTGAGCAAAATATTTTGAATATGTTTTAATTCCAAATGTGCTCTATTCTTTTAAGATTCCAGCTTTTTGAACCAGCTTCTGTGATGACTTCATCCATCGGTTATATATTTACACTCACAAAGTGCATATAAATATTAGAATAATATCCAAAACAAGCTGTCAGAACAAAGCTATTAAGGAGCCTCTGGCAGGGAAGGATTTTGATGAACTGCTCTAAATAACAGAAATGCCTCGCCTTTTGTCTCTTTTTAGTATTTATAGAGGCTAATGTTTCCAGAGTACCCAAATGAACCATGACTTCTCTGTGCTCTTAGTAACCTTTACCAAGGCAAGTAGGATGTAATTAGCAGGGGCTGTGCAGGTCTTTCTTGTGCTAAGTAGGTGGATATTCCTATACTGTAAGAAAAAGTAGTTGATAGATGATACATTTATTTGTATGCAATGATTTTGCTGTGTTTCTTTGTTATGCTAGCTTTCAATGCTGGAATCATAAGTTACTTTACTGCAAAAAATCTTTTGCACAGGAACTGGTTTAGTTTTTTGAGTTTCTTCAGTATAACTTGTTTCCTCTGCTTTCCTTAGTGCCCAGCAAAGAAGCAGTCAGGTTAACAAAAGTGCAGTGGGAAATCAGGTAGGCACCTAACAGAGAATGGATAATGGCATGTGCAAGTTAATACAAGCTGTTTGGTTTTCTTGGTTGCATTTATTTGTTTTAAATGTGTAATTCACTTTTTTTTGCTTGAAACATGGATACAATACAGCAGTCATCCCCCCCCCCTTTTTTTTTTAAGCTGAAGTTTTCAGAGCTACTTGACTACTTCATTATTGTCATCATTTATTGTTTAATCACTGTGCTACTGTTTGCACCGCTGGTTAGCGTCTCCCCTCCCATGCCGTTCAGTATATAGAATCTCTCATGTTACACCTAAATGTATTTTTTTGTTAACTGCTAACTTGTGAATTTCAGAACACAAAACGCTGGTGAGTAATTGCTTGTATGTGCTTGTCATATGGTAGTTTTACTAGTTCTCACGTGTGCACAGCTTATATTACAGTGAAGGGGCAATCCAGCAAGCAAAAGCAGATTTGCCTGTACTTCTTCTGAAAACTTTCAGTTGACTTCATACCATGCTCCTCTCTTGAAATAAACAAAGTATAACTGATTGGTGGTCTCAGATTTAATAGTGTTTTTGCTGAGAGTCATTAATTAAACTAGTCGATTGTTTCTTTTTATTATGTATGATATGGGATTGATTCTGCAAGATGCTAAGTGCTCCAGAGCTTCTCTTCTTCTTTTGTTTCTGTGCAGGCCATGGGTGCTCAGTACTTCACAGAATCAATCCTTTGTTTTTTATGTGAAATCAAAGTAATGAAAATGCTACAGATGTAAAATCTATTCTTGCTCGCTTTGAGGGTTTTGCAAAGTCTTAAACAGAAAGAAAATATGATGACATTATTAAATTAATTCTTTAGTTGTAGTAAAAAAGAAAGGCATCAAATTTTTGTATAAATAACTACTCTATTGAATGCAGTCCTGACGTTTTTGTGTCCAGTTCGGTCAAACAATTCTAAAGAGTTAAGAGGTCAAGATTTCCAAATGTGACCACTGAGTTTAGATCCCTCAGCTGTGGGAATGGGGGGGAGGTGAAAAACTTGAGATTTCCCGAAAGTGTCTCTGTTTTGCTGTAACAGATTAGTGTTCCAGCATTTTCTGAAAATTTAGTAGTCTTTTTTTAGGGACAGAAATCCAACCTCTCCTTCTCCCCAAGAAATTGCTAGTCACTTCTGAGATGTTATTCAAAATGATCCATAATTTCTGGAATGTGATGGTTCCCCAGAGCTTGACCAGCGTGAGTGGCTTTTTTGACATAGTGAACTATTTGGACTAAAATAAAAAAACAAAATTGAAAGGTCTAAACACTGAAATGCCTTCAAAGACTAGTCACTCCCCTCTGAGGAGAGACTTCCTTCTTATCTAGCTGTGCAGGAACATGTGTCAAACACAACAACCGTCATCACTTTGGAGTGTCCCATAAAAGGAAAAACAGCCTATTATCTGATTCTTCAGAAATACACAAATGGAATGAATGATTCTGTGAGTGAATGTTATCTCTCTAAAGAAGTGAAGAAAAAAATTGGCATTTTAAATAAGTTGTTGAGACTTGATTACTTGTATAAAGGACTTTGCTGAACCTTTTAATTTGAAGAGAATAAACAAGTGTTTGTAAGTTAATTTTTTGGCATTGAAAAGAATGAGAAAATGTTTCTGAAATAAAACTTCATTTTTGCAATTTGCTATTTCAGGGAACCAATCTACCGCCTTCAAGGCAAATTGTACGAGCTAAGTTCTGTAAGCTTTATTGTTGCTTTTTCATTTAGCTTCTCAGAAGGCAAAGTTTGTCTCTAACTCATTAGTTGGCTTAATACTTGCTACTAAGCTACTTAATGTTAAACTATCTCGTCCATAACACTTCCTCAACAAAATATAATTGCAGTTCATGTCTTAACTGCTACTAACCTGCTGTTACAAGTGTGAACTAGTAGAACTTAAAATGTGCTAGAAAACTTTGAAGAAAATTAATATTTTACAATTTACTGAGTTTCTCAAACTAAAAAGACTAATTCATGTTTATTTTGTTATATACCTGGAAAGCAGTATTTATCAGATGTAAGTGCCTTGATTTGTAGTAAAACTTTTTGAAAAGTGGGCAAATGAGTTTTTGGTAATGAAAAGGAAACATAAGCTATTACTAAATGAACTTACTGTTTATGGGTACAGGTACTGTTATTGGTATTTTGTTTACACAAAGAAATTACTTTTGATAGGAAAAAATGAGTTTTATTAATAAACTTAAAATTCTATAAAGCCTTTTTAGCATTCTTCTTATAGCACCAGGAGGACCAATATGTCATGGACAGACTCCTCTCTAACCTTTCCACCTCATGAGTAAATAAATGTGTGAATGCATTTAATATTACTAATTAGAATTAATTGTCTAAACAGCAGTTAATTTTATAACAAGTCACTTCTGGATCAGTGACTTTTAAGAGGTAAATTTCTATATCATGTACATTCTTTGGTATTATTTATGATTAAAATGTATACATTTTTCCAGCATGTTACCATATTGTCACATCATATTAGTTGTTATTGCAAGCAAACTTAAACTGAACAAAAATTCAATAAAGGAAAAACAACTAGACAGCACTGATTCTTAACAGCAGTTGAATTAAATCTCTCTAGATCCTTAAGTTTTCCCAAGATAGTGGGAGTGTTCATTTGCAGTTCATTGCTTTTCTTTTTTCATAATTTGCTTTGAACTATGATGATGCAGATAACTTGTATATCTCAGAAATAAGATGAGTGCAGCAGCATTATATTTCTGGAAGAAGCGTAATGCCAATTCCTCTTAACGTGTTTTTGTTCCTTTTTTTTCCCCCTACTACTAATTTATCCTCTCACGCTTAATCTTTGGCCTTTTTTGTTTGTCTTTTTTCTTTGCTACCGCCTGAGGTTTTGACCTGACTCCACAAAGTTTCTTTTTAAGCCACAGGTTAGTCTGTCTTCTAATTTGCTTGAAATAACCAATGCAATGCTTGGTTTTACATAGCACTCTGGTAAGATCTGGATCGTGAAGGCTGACCCACTCTTTACTGTGTATTTCATGTGGTGAGATTTGTTTTTGTCACTAAAACTTTGTGTTTAAAACTCGCCTTCCTGATAAACCTTAGAAATGTAAAGGTGCCATTGTTTCATGTACCGAAGAATACCATAGTGCATGAGGATGCAAATTACTCAGATTACAGGGGATTATATATCGCTTACGTTAAATTCTGGTTTTTGTTTTACTTCTGTGGCAAAATCTGATGTTGTTGTGTTTGAAATAGCCCCTGTAATTGGAGAAGAGGCTTAATCTGAATCTTAAGTTTAAAGTCACTGTCTGAGAGATTTTGAGGTTTGGATTGGAAAGTTTTGACTCTATCTCTTACAACAGCCATTAGATTCATTTTCCTCTGGACAAAAGTACACAAGTACCATTCAGACCTCATCAGTGGGCCTGAACTACTGTGCTAACTTTTCCCCTAGCAATGCTCTTGTGTTTTATTTGGTTTTGTTTTGTTTTAATCCAGTTTCATTAACCTAGTTTGCTGCTTCTTGTCTTCAGATGCTATAGTTAAATTCTGTTACCTCCTGTGACCCAGAAAAAATGTGTTTACAGACTTTCTTAAAGCAAGTAGATGAAAATGGAAACTTGCACCAGAGTCAGTGAGGTGGTCATGAAAAGACATGACATGGCTGTTCTGTTAGGAAATGCCAATGTTTCTGTGAAAGATTATAGAGGTGGTACAGATTGATAACAGCATGACGCTAAATGAATGAGACATGCTTTTATACTTTTACCTTATCAATGCTATAGAAATAGCCTACTGGCCTTTAGCTATACTTATTTTTAGGTTGTCATTCCCTCATGGTTGGCTTAATCACCTCAATGTTTCTTTAATTACATTTGGGAGAATAAATCTATTTTTCACTGCTGAGTACTTTGTTTCACTAAAGACTGAATTTTTCTTTAAAGTAGAGGTATGTTTGAGACTTAAGCCACTGTCTTTTTTTTTTTTTTTTTTTTTTTAAAGTTATGCAATACATTTTGCAGTGACTCCAAGGAAGTAATGCCATTTCAAGAAGCTCTGTTTGGTTACTGAGCACAAACAAGATGATTAATCTGCTCAGGTTATGCTCTGACATTTAGCAAATTATGATGAAAGACTTGGATTAGATTTCCTTCCAACATGTTGTTTCTTTTTGTCCTCTGTAGTGTGAGTGAGAGTCTTCATATTTGAACCCAAAGAACTAGTGGATTGTAAGGATGTCTCACATACTAATTTTTGCGATTTTTATTCTCTGTGTTCTTACCATTTGCTAACACACGTTGTATCACAGTTCTCAGAAGATAAAGGAATGTAATGCTGGCAGTTGTGTTGCATGCCCAGCATTATTTCGATGGGGTTATGTAACATAACTCTACAAAGTTATGGTAATTCAACAAAATGCGACTTGTTGTATTGTTGATGAAGTAGCCAGACTCATGATTTTCTCAGTTATGTTTCACTGTCTGCCCAGCCAATTTCACTTATCTTTTTTTAAATCATCTTTCAGATATTACCTTTAAAGAAGTGGAACACTTACTTAAGTCTCTAATGTATTTATTTCGTAAATATCTTATTTGTTGTAATGGAATGAGTAAATCATGCAGCAATATATAAAATGTACTTATTTTGTCAAATCCTGCTTTCCTGTTTATCCATGAAATGGTGGACAATCAGAAGAACAATATGATTTGTTTTTTTTTGTGCAATTGAGCTATCAGAAAATGACTTCCTTCTGGCTTGTTCATGTGCATTCGTACCCTCTAAGTTTCATTTTTTCAGACACCCAGATTAGATATCGGGACCCTGAAGGAAGGAACTGTGTCATCTCTTGTTCATCCTGTACATGGAGTCCAACTACCGGTCGGAATATTGTCTTCACTAGCTTCTGGCAATGCTTATGTTTTTCACCTTCCTGAAGTTCATAACTCATGTCACTAATATCCGGTTTGTGCAGGGTGGCATTAGAAATATGATAGAAAATATTGAAGTGAATGTCTTAAATCCAAACCAACCAAAAGATGAACTAGTGAAAACAATAATGAGGAAAACTATTTTATTTTTCCATGCTTAATAATGTTAGACATAACTAACACAATAGTTTAAAAAAAAAAATCAATCAAGGCAATGGAATTTAAAAGTCTCTAAAAACACATGCTGCCTATTGCCTGTAGAAGGGCTAAAAACTATAGTTTGAGCTTTTTGTTTTTAATGATGAAATTGGCTGGAGTCTATCCTGTAAGTCAGTTCCTCTGGAAGGTAAAACTATGTTGCTTAAGCTCACTTTGTTTAAAATTTGCACCTTAACCCCCCTCCCCCAACATGGATACTGAGTATTTCAGAAGTGTATCTGTTTGTTGCACAGTAGTTAACAAAGCGTTCCTGGGGAATGTGAACAGTTCAACCAAAGGAGCATCAGGCTCCAAGACTACTCTTTGGCTGTTATAGCACACCTAGATTTTTTTCTCTCCCGTGACATCCCGTGGAAAGTCTTCCAAATATTTTGTATAATAATGACAACTTCTGTTCAGGATATTTTAGAGCGCTTAGTACGCTGTTTTCCCAGAGGGGTGTAGATAAATAGATCTAGAAATTTGCACATGAAAAACACATGCTCAAGATACTGCTATATCTTGGTGTCCTGCTCTTGATTCAGTGTGGTGTGGGAATGACAGCTGGATCTAATCCCCAGCACACAGGATTTTTGAGGAAACAGCTGGCAAATTCCTTCTTCTACAAGTCAGAGTGACCAATGTTTATATTAGCAAATCAGCCTGTTTCTGTGCACACCCAGTGGTGGTTATGCATCTATGGGGCAATGTCCATCAGACCAGAGCAAAGATGGTCTTTCAGACCTATGCAGCTGAAGTAGTCTCAGCATTAGAAGGGAAGCATTTAAAACATCATTACTTCTTAAATGGCTTGCATCATTTAGATTTTGAAACATTAGCTTGGTCTGTACTGAGACCACTGCTGCTGATGCATTCTGTGTGGAATTGAGGAAAACTGACTGTATTAACATTCTACAAGGCCCATGCTAATGATGAGGGAAAGCATGGAATGGAATACACATAGTAAACTACTTCCCTTGCCACTTAAATCCTTACAGGTGATAAATAATTTTGAGCCTGCTACACAGGTGTTCCTCCTTGGTTTGCTTCTGGAACCCACCAGTTTATCCCCACTGTGAACTCTTGTCTTCAGGTCTTAGAGGTCCCTCTCTAAGATCTGTGTCCAAACCAGTTTTCAGTATTATGTTGGTCTGGCTGCCTCTGCTTCCTGTATGTGATGTGTTGCTTCCTATGAAGCACACAGCATTTGAAATTGTAGACAGCATGGTCCAACAGCGTCCTTTCACATAGCCTCTTATTTCAGATTCTTTGTAACATGGGAATAACCACCTTGGCATGTTTGCTCTCAGATTGTTTGAAATACTTGAGTCACATAGAGCCAACTATAAAAGCACAGCTCACCTTGTTATAAAGCTAATTTAAAGTGGTAGGAAAATCTTACTCTCCTGGATTTTTCCTAAAATTTCTTCCAGAGGGCTGCATTCATATAGTTAAGTTCAGAAAGAAATGAAATTACCTTGGTTCTACAGCTTAACCTATGGAAGTTGCCTGAAGGCTAGTACATTTATTTGGCTGTATATGCATGTTGTTTGTTTTCTGTTAAATGTTTTATATTCCATATGCTTCCATAAACAGCGTAAAATAAAATTTAAAAGCAAGGATTTCATGGGTTATTGAGTTAATACTAGTGTATTTCCCTTAACTTGCACTCAGACAAGTATTCCATGTCTATTTATGTAAAGTAATGCCCTCTTCCCCCCCCCCCTTTTTATTTTTTATTTTTTAAATGATCATGAAAATTAAAAATAACAACAAACTTCTGGGACCTTTGTGGTACTGGCAGCTCTATCCGGTCTGCTCAGCCCATACCCTTGAGTTTCTCTACAGGAGCTGTGTGTCCAGTTCTCTCATAGCTTAGTGAGTCTTTAGAACTGTATTAATTCGTTCTGAGCAATCTGCTTACGAGCTGAAAACCTATAGATCTGTAGTGATTTTCTTCTCTAGGCTATTGGCCTGCTTGGTAGTGAATGAAAAATGTGACCGTTTAACTTGAAATGCAGTTGATACTCTCAGACCAGTTCCTACAAAATGCAAGGAACGAAAAAGTTTATTCCTTTCCTACACATTTATTAACTCCTTGCTACTTTAACTTTCTCAAAGATTTATTTCTGAAAAGGATTAGGTACACCCACCTTCGGTACGTGTCTGCAATGCTCCAAGTGCTGGCTAGAGCTTGTCACTTAGGTTTGGTCTGAGGTGCTTTGGCCAGAACAGATCATGGCCTAGGAATACCTCCATATGTTGCCCCAAAGGTCCCTTTAACCCAAAAGCTTATCTATTACGGCAGTTGAAAGTAAATGCCTAGCAAAATTTTTTAATGTTAGAGTCAGCATCAAAAGTTAATTCCTCAGAATGCAGTCCCAGCTTCCAAAGGTTATTCCAAGGGCTTCATTGGTCAAAGTGTTATCTAATAGCCATCTGCAGATATCTGTAATGAACCAGTCCAGTCTGAGCTTTTTGTGAATCAGCCTAGAAGTTTAGGGATTGTCAATACCTAAAGCTGTGTCCTGCCATGAAGATGCCCAAATACCATTTTTCCAAAAAAGGATTAGTGAAATATCAGAAGAAATGCAGTGCAGTTTACAGTATAGATTGATTATCTGTTAATCGTTGCCTCAGGCAGAAGTGGCATATGAAGCCTATGTGATTCAGCAACTTTGGTGTAAGATTATAGAATCTGTAATCTCTGTTCTGCCTCGCTGGGGAGGCAGAACATGGCACACTTACCTGCAGTGATTATGCAGCGCAGTTATATACAGGACTCTTACAATTGGTGATTATGTATTGCCAATGCAGTGGTGGTGCATGCACAGCCCTCTACCTATGCATGTTGTTGTTGTGTCAGTCATTTTAGTTGTCCTGGGCAATGATGGATGCATGTCCCCTTTGTGATATATGTATATTCCACTTTATTGATGTGGTCTCTCTTAGCTAAACTTAGAGTAGTAGAGACAATGCTTTCTATATATTTATTTATTTATTTTTATTTTCTTAAGTTTGGAGGAAAACTTAGAAAATAGGTGAAAATTAGTACATTACATGTTATCAACATTTTTACCTGTGTGTCAGGTGCAACTCCTAATCTCTTTCTTATTTGGTTTGGATGTTAAATATAAAATAGTTTCTGGCTCTGTGCATACCAAAGCTGATTTTCTTCTGGGAGCTTGTATTAACATGCATGTTGAATGGAGTGGAATTCTGACTGAAACTTCTATAGATGGCAAGGAATAGATACTGAACTATGTTTTTTGCTCTGACTGTCTGCTGATATTAGAGTTATTCATCTTGTAAATTCCTATAGGAGGAATATCACAGTCTCATGTATTTCCCTTAAAAGCAAGAGAAAACTCATGCTTGATCATACAAGTCCATGCTTGTCCAGACACTGGCAGCAGAGGGACTTCTAAAGGACCTCTCTGAGCATTTCTTCTCTACTGTCTCAATACCTCATAGGCAAGTAAAGGGCGTTGCACTGAGGAGAGAAAGAATGGTCTGAGGTTCCTTGCATCTGTGTGATCGGAAGAATTCTGTTTTCCTGTTAGGATGATAGGAAGGAATATCCGATTATGAATATATATCGGAAAGCAGTAAATGGTTTCCATAAAACTGAGTTTGTAACTATATGACCCATAAAACAGTTCTCCTGACCTTTCTTTCCTCTGTTTCATCTCTTGAGCTGCCTCATTCCTCTTTAGTTTTCTTTCGTCCTTCTTTCTCTTTATGTGATATGGCCTCCTGACCTTAACATGCATAGGTAGGTGCTCCCCTCCGTTCTTTCATATTGGAGTCGCATCTATTTCCTCATGTATCTATTTCCTCAAAGTTCTGCTTTACTCATTTTTTTTCCCCCCAACGTATTCTTATTACCCTCTTAGTTTTTTTTCTCTTTTCTTTTCCTCTTCTACATTCCATCTTATGAGTCATCTTTCTTTGAAATTAACTGTAGAAGACCTTTCTGTTTTCTCAATTGATTCAATTCCTTCTGAAAGTCTCTTACACGTGCTCGAAGCCATTTGCTTCCCTGGAAGGTGCTGTCCCTAGTATCCAATTTACAATTGACCGTAGCAATTGGACTTAAACGGTAAGAGTAGTCATGTGTCATGTTGTATGGGCTTTTACAATGTGTTGTTATACAGCAAGTAGATGTCTTCAATGTTACGTTATCCTTTGTTCCTTTATATTTACTGTAAATGGTTATCCTTAGGCTTCTCTCTTCCTCCAACCTATCTTTTGGCTGAAGACACTTCTTACTGTATGTTACATTTTTCTTGAATGATTGGAACCTGTAAAAACTGTGTCGAACTTGCCAGGGAGTGAAGGACATGCACCTCTTTTTGTTTTATGTAGCAATTCTTTATCTAGAAGAATGAATTTAATAGCTGAACAATGTCAAGTGAATAATGAACTAAACTTGTGCCTGACTGCACCTCTGCGCAGGTCATCCGGAAAGGCTGGCTGACCATCAACAATATTGGAATCATGAAAGGAGGATCCAAAGAATACTGGTTTGTTCTGACCGCAGAAAGCTTGTCCTGGTATAAAGATGATGAGGTAAGGAATAAAGAACTTCAGTGTACTGAAAAAAGAGTATTTTTCAGTCTTCAGATGTTAACTTGAAATGCTAAATCAGCTTGTGTAGACTTGAACTGAAAGAATATTTTAAGGTTTGCAACTTTCTGTTTTTGTTTCATGGAGATGCTGACCCTCTGAGACTTCTGTAGAAATGTTGGAAACATAAATGCAGGGTGTATTTTGGGAGATTTTTGGTTTGTTTGTTTTTTTTTTTTCTTTTTCCTCCCTTCCTGCGGTTTCGCACATAGAACTAGAAAGAGGGGAAAAAAAAAAAAAAAGCCTGTTTTGGAATGTTCTGGTTATTGTTCTATGCCTGTTTGGACTTCTCTTACACATCAGCTTTAAGCTGGCCATGAACTGTATAGATAAAGTTACTCCTATGAGCTACTACAGCAACTGATTTAATGATAATTGTTCTCCTGCTTTGTATTCTGAGAAGTTGAAAAGCGTATCTGCAGAGTTCTGTAGCCAGTTTGATATAGAGTTCAAATTTGCTACTGAAAATCCACTCAATATACCTTGGTAAGAAATAGTGCTGCTAATCAAAAATATGTAGGTGAGTAACAAGAGAATTAGAAAACAACAGTTCTATAACAAACAGGACATCCTGGTTCCTCACTTTGTTGAAAATATTGTTAGACAGCTTTGGGAATCAATTTTTTGCTAGTCTATTCTGCTTAGTCGTTTTCTTTCAACAGTGTTAGCAATGTTCTCCTCTACCTCAAATTCTTCTCTACCTCAAACTCAACAGCAGTCCTATTTTTAATTTTTTGAAAATTAAAATGGGATTATTTGGTGCACTATCAGCTTTACAATGAAGTCCTTGGATTTTTTTTTTACAGTTTATTTGGGTTTTCATTGGAAAAATTGAGCTTTCAAGGTAACAAAAACATTCCAGAAATATTTTTCCTTTCAATTTCAGATTTTTTTTTTAATTAGATGTTTTCAGCAAAAATATATCACTAAGTGATCTAATATATCACTTATTTTTTCCATCTTATTTTTAGTAATAACCAAAATACTGAATTACCCCCAACAGCAAGGAATTAACTGATGGGGACTGTGCAGACAATTCATATTCTGTTTAAACTATATTAGCATTTTGCTTCAGTGAATTTTCTAGAACCACTGGATAAAGGTCCTGCACTACATGTACATAAACCACAGCCCCAAGTCCTGCAAATCCAGAATGTGGTACTTCTCATAAGTAGTTACTTCAGTAATACTGCTGATGTTTGAAATTGTTCTGGTCAGTAGTGTAGCGTGTGTGTGTTTTTTTTTCTTTGAGTCAGTCCTCATTTTGGGATAGTTCCTAAGGTTGAGGGGAAGGTTGGATTAAGTTGGTTAGTCTTGAAGATTTTGCCCCTCCCTCCTTTTTTTTTAAAAAAAAAAAAAAAAGATTACAGGGATACAAATTTATTCACTGTAATAGGAAAATGTCAGTCAAGGGGAAGGAACCAAGTGCTAGATCAAAAAGAAAAATTTTATTCTCAAAATATTACTGGAACATAATTTGAAGTAATTTATTGTGACATCACAAAAATAAATGAACAGCCTGAAATGTAAAGGTATATGAAAACTTAAAGATGTCATTTTTCTACCATGAGTTATCAAAACTTATCAGATCTGTTGTCTAGATTAAGTACAGTAACTATAAATATAAATAAATATAACTGATGCATTGAAATTAACACCTCTTGCTATGTTTCATCTCAAACACTTAAAAATGCATCTGAGATATGCCGTGGCAGTTTTTGAACTAGGGGGGTGTGTGTGTATGTATGTGTGGGGATTGAGTCTGACTTTGGTTCAGTGGGCAATAATAAAAGTTCCTGAAAATACCTATGCAATGCCCTCTGCTATGCACTTTAAAATACATGGTTTGATGGTCCGTTAGAAAAAGCTGCTCAGGAATCTTGAAACAGTATGAAAGACATGGAGGGGACTGGCTGCTCTCTGATTTCCATATGTGTATTTTAAAATACTATCCCTTAAGTGCAAAACACTTGGTTCTGATAGTCATGAAAATATCAGTAGTACGTTCAGGCTAATAAGGGAGCTCACCCAGGAACGTCTTACAGTGGTAACAGAAGAACAGCCCAATGTTCCATGTTTTGCTGGTGGGAAAGTTCTTCCTCAAGTACGAATTTGCTGTTTACTTTGATTATTCTGTTCTGAGAAGGAATTCACAAAGCTTTATGTTGAGTGGTTTTTTTGCTATGTCTTTCTCAGTAGGACTTAAATTAGTAAGAAATGTTTTAGATGCTTTTCTGAAAATGATTGAAGCCATAGCTTGACCATAAGGTTAATCAAAAGACTGGTGACTTGTTTCAGAAATGAACTACCTGCTTCTGAAATTAAGAAGCCAACTTTTGGTCTCTTGGCTGAATTCCAGTTTGGATAATTGCATTTTGTCGTCTTAAAATGTTCTCCTCGTTTCCAGCTAGGTTTGGTAGTTGTCACATCCTGTTCTCAGATGATTACTGAAATGGCTGTATGCTGTTGTATTTCTACCCTGGTAAGATATGTAGTCTTCAGTGATGTGTGAGGTGATGCCCGTGTTTATGTCTGGGCTGTGCCCGGGCTCTCTATGGATGTGCACTCCGCGAGGTCGTGAGGAGTTCACGTCCCCTGTGCCTCCCGCTTGGGGACCAGCCACTTCTGCAGCCAGCTCTTACAAAGTAGCAGGAGCCTCTCTATCACAGTTGGGAAAGAGGCAGAAAATTAGGTCTCACCTTTGATATCCTTGGCAGTTGGCTAGCCAGAGTGATGTGTATATTTCCCCTGCTTGCCCTGAATAAGGGCTATTGTAGCTTCTTGTGAACCACTGAGCTCCTTTGACAACGCATCACATTAAGCGACAGCGTTTGCTAGGACCTCTAAAGCTGTGTAGCCCCTCTGGTGTAAGCTGAACCCACTTCATAAAGATTGGAATTTACTTTGAGACAAAAATTGCTCTCTGAACGCTGCTTGCTTAGTGCCTTTTGAAGGATGTGAATTATTTCCTTTACTTGTGAGTTACAGCTTTTCTAGTGAAGAATTCACAGTGGAATGCATACTGAAGCAAGTTACTTTGGCAAAAGTTTTCAAAATTTGTTGTATGATTTGAGATCTTAAAACAAGTAATTTCTTCTGTTCCTTATTGACATGATTTTGTTGCTGCTTAAAACATACAATAAGATTTTTTTGATGAGATGGGAATCAGTGCCTAAGAATGCTTTTTGGTCTTGTAGTTATGGAAATATCAAACTGATGCTTGATCAGTCTAGTTAAAGTAGTTATATTTTCAGATATGTGAATACTAATCTGAATCAGTTTCTGATACTGCAAATAGTTACTTGTGCTCATAATTTTGATGCATGACCAGTACCATGTCTTTGTGCTTCTTTACCATGCTTAAAATTAAACATGGGTAATCGTGCATACAGCTTTGAGGCTGTTGTAAATAAGTGCAACATTAATGTACTCATTCAGCTTGCAAATATAGTTTTCTTTAGTAAGGTATTTCATGTCATACTAGCTAAAATGCTATGAGACACACTTGCAAAAAAAAAAAAAAAAAAAAAGATTAAATCTGAGCATCTTACCTCTCAGTTATTACTACTTTAATAAAAAATGTGAAAAGCTGCAAGTTTTTGTGCTAAGGTTCATGCATTTGAGAGTCAAACTGCAAATGTGAAGTTTGTGAATTAGCAGCTGCTACATTCATATAAGAGGGCCTTTGGGAATTAGGAGCTTCATTCTAGTTTGTGAATCAAAAAACTCTTTATTGTAAACAAAAAAAATACTATTTGTAAAGCTATGTACCATTTTTGTAAAGCATGGTCATAGAATGTGGTCTTGTATTCTTTATAAATCTAAAGCATCTTGAGATTTCACCGGCATTATTGGTGTGAAAAGAATGCCAAGCTGGATTCTAGGATCAGAGCTTTTAAAATATGAAGCTTACGTTTATTTGAAAAAATGTCAGTTATTCAGCTTACGTTTATTTGAAAAAACTTAATTATTCTTATTTCCAGATCAAATATTTCTATTTTGTTTCAATAGTATAGTATTATCTGCATCTAGGGATAGATGCCACTTATAATTCACAGTTTTTTCTCGATTGTAAAATTCTGTGTGGTTTGGGATGGAGGAATGAAAACAGCTAGGGGGAGGTAAGATGGTGGAAAGGACAAAAATTACTCTAAGGTCTAACATTCTGCCTGTTTATAGAATTAACTAGCCGCACAGTGACCTGCTCTGGGCTTCTGTGACTAACAGGAATATTAGCAATTTTTATACTGACAATAATCTAAAAAAGCAAGTTGTTGCTCAAAATATGAGTGAGAAATGTTTTGTCCTCCCATTTACAACGGTGCCGCAAAGCTGAGTGTAAATAAAACTTATTGTTAGTGAGTTAATAAGAACAACTAGGAAAAGAGTACTATAGAAAGCACAGTAAAAATTTCATCAGTGGGTTTTATTGTATTTTATAGGCACTATTCGCTTGACTCTAGGTGGGTTGCAAAACACAACTTGGTTACTGACCGACAGTCTGAGGTCCAGAGTGACTCCTGGCTGTAGCTCTTGGTGAAGATGCTCTAGTGTCAGAGCTGGTTCCCACTGTCTGGCTGTCACTCAGGCTGGGTTGTCATGTGACTGCCTGTCTGTGCCTGCTGTACAGGTGAGAGGATGTTCTGCACAGCAAGTGTAGACAGGCAGACACATGACAACTCCGTCCAGCCAGTCCCTTGGAGCCATCACCGCTGGTGTGAATCAGTTTGTGTCATTCCAGTTTGGGGGGGTTTGTTGGGGGGAACACACATAGCAGAATTAAACTTTAAAACATTGGGAGCTGTAGAACAAGAACATAATTTGATTTTATTCAGAAAATATAAATTTCAGTACATTAGTTATCATTGTGCTGACAAGTATCAGAGGGATGATTTTAACAGACTGGTCACACCAAACATTTGTTTAAAAAAAAAAACAAAAAA